TCCTTTCCAACCTAGTGATTCTGTGAATGTGATGGAACAGTTCCTTTACTGTGCTCCAGGAGGGGGGAAAAAAAAGAAAAGATTCATGGGATAAAGAAACACAAGTAAATGGGAGAGGACAAGGTAACCCCATGCAAGCAGAGAAAGGCTGGATGTTAAATAGCAGCAGAAAGATAAAGAAAGAAACACAGTATCAGTGATTAATTTTCTCTTGCCTCTATCAATTCCCCTCTTTCTCAGAGGCACAGTGCACAATTTCCTTTGGCATTAGGAGGACCTCCTTGAGCATGCTTTTGGAAAACTAAGAAAACATGCAATTTGCAGCTGCGGGCAAGTCTTGTTTATAGTGTATTCAGAACACATGTGGAAACTGCCATGCTGCTTTGCAGCCCTAGCTGTAGACACCCGAGCCAAGGCAGTTGCGACTGCTTTTTCTGGGAAATGTCTGATCCATTTGTTGTATTATTACAAACTGCTTCTAAGCAATAGAGACAGTTTGCTTATATTTGGTGACTATCGTGGCTCTCATGGAAGTGGGCTTTGCATTGTCTTCAGGACATGCACAGCATCTTGTCCTGAGAATGTGCAAGGACTTAAAGTAAAACATCATGTATTTGACCCCAGGAAGTAAGCTGTCTATACCTGAGAGAAACTGCATTTGGGCAAGGGCAGGAGAACAACAGTTTTAATGAAACTGAATCCCATCCTACAGGAAAAGATAAGTAGTGACACAATGCAGAAGGCTGTGCAGTATGGGGTTTGTGTGCCTTGGGGTTTTTTTAACACTCAAAGAAAGAAGGGGCCATACACACAAAAGAAAAGTTAGGAGATAATGAGGTAGCATGATCCTGCTGGCCATCTAATAAATGCCACAGTACTCAAAAAATACCACCTAAAAGAAGACAATCTGAAGGAAACTTTAGAAAGTAAATTAGTACATTTCAATTTCTGAAGGTTCCCATTCAAAACCATGAATATCTGCAAAACAAACTACATTTAAGGATTAACTAGATCATTTGGAGACTGAAAAGTACCAACGTCCAGAAATAAACTACTGCCTTGGAAGAATGCCAGTAGGAGGAAGGCAGGCAGGTGCATTGTCACAGCACCTGGAAATCTTAAATTGCACGACTGTGCGTACAAGCACGCTTTGATTCTCTTCCTACTGTTGCATTCCCCTTGGGTTTCGATCTCAGGTGCCACAGAAATGGGCTCTTCAATTAAGCCAGTTTGATAGGAACAACTTTGCTTTGTTGCAGAATTGAAAACTGCGTGGAGAGAAACATCCTAGCCGTTAAGTCAACAGGTCAGAAGATCAAGCACTTTTCAGCACTCTTGGCAGGCTTCTCTGGTGCGAGAGCTAAACACACAGGCTTGGCAGTATCCCGTGAGCTTTGCTTTCCCAAGCTCTGGATAAAAGTGGAAGGCAGGGTGGCAGGGGAAGCAATGGCAGAGTTTGTGCAAACAGATCAGCACAGGGAGCTTTGGCTGAAGACACAAGTGAAAGAAAACAGTAGTGGAAACAGCCTATTGTTAGCACCTGAACATAAATAAGGATCTATATAAGGGTTCTTGCTGTAGTTTAAAAAGATATTTGAAAGGTGCAGGCAGCCCTGATGTCCCAAAATGCAGCACTTCAGTCTACACGTACATTTAAGATTCTCCTACAAAGCACAGGCAGCATACATGTGATAGAGATGGCAACACAGTCAGGAGAAGAAAGCAAACACCTAAACATTCCTTTAACTTATTTTAAACAAAGGAGCTTTTCATAAACATGAACCTCCTGTACTTGTTTATTGAAAGCCAAGATTTGCTCTAATTGTTAACTGGCACAACTATCCAGCAAACCAGAGAACTCTTACAAGAAATTCCATTACAAATGCTTTCTGAGGATGGAGGTGCCCGATCAACGTTAACAGTGCTGCAAGAAAGGCGAAGAGGAAAGTGATTTTTTTGTCACTGGCAGAAAAACATGGCTAACTATGTTGGTGTCGATGCTAGAAAAGAGCAGATGAGAGCGAAAATGCAACTAAACATGCAGTGACTGGTGGAAGTAGCAAAGACGAAGGCAGAGCAAAGAGGTGAAGGACTAAGCCATCCTGCTCTTCCCTTAATTTCCAACAGGTGCGATGGCTGACTGCAGTCACCTGCAGGACCCAGCATTATGGAGAGCACCAGCACAGCGCAGGCTGCTTCTACTGCCGTGCCCCTTTGCCACAAGGCTGAACCTTTGGTGGAGACAAGAACCACTGGGAATTGGGACACCTCTTTATGGCTACACTGTGAGTTACTAGTGGATAGGCAGCAGATCTTGCACAGACCTGTATACCCACTTATGGCCTTGGATTTGTGTTATCACACAACTCATGACATTAAGTATAGGTTGCAGGCTGACTAGGAGACAGAGCTATCCAGATACTTCATGTTTTATAGAGATTTTAATGAAACAAGGTAAGAGAAATTGAACACTATCTCCTTAGGTTTTCAGTTAGAAGTTTCTCTGATAGCATCTCACATTACAGTATAAATTTGTTAGCAATGCCACTGAGACTGCCGTATTCCTAAAGCATGGCATGCTGCAATCTTCACAGTGTTATTCCCAGTCCTCAGCTAAAATTTTATTACCATATTCTTGTGAGAACAAAATAAAATTAAACACATCATTTATTAAGTCAAACTTGTCAAAGCTCCATTAATCTTTGATGTCTGGGTCTGCCTGTAAATCACAGGGCTGATCGTCTAAACTTCACTTATTCCACCTAAAGCACTTTGGACACCTTCAACTACAACAATTTTTTCCACTCAGGAACTTTTCTTTCCAGGTATGGTTCAAAGAAATTAAGAAACTGGTACACAAGTATAACAGCTGTACTATTAGTTTTCCCAGGGATCCAAACATAAGACTTTTTTTGTGCATGCTTTAACACCCTCCATATCCCAGAATTGACTGTATCCCAGAATCAAGCGTACTAGGATATGCAGGTCCTATACATACATATTCTATTTACATTCAATTAAAATAAAACCCCTGGGAAAAAGCCCGTGTTGGAAACCTTCCACTGATGGGCAATTAAAAGACCACACAACCCATGACTTGAAGTTACTTATATGTGTGCGTGTGTGGAATCAATTTCAGGTATAATTAAGTGAAGCATGGTGTTAATGACGACTCATATTCCCAAGCAGAACCTTCACTATCATTATAACCAATAAAGATGTTAATCATCCTGCAATACAAGCCAACAAGTAACTTTCAAAAACTAGTACACAGCCAGACATGCTCTATCTTACACAGTTTTAACACTGAGCTGCCTCTGCCGCAGTGGCAGCGGCGTTCACTACTTCATGACAAGTGCTACAGGAGCAGAAGTCGTGTGTCAGGAAACGCTTAGCTGTGGGTACCATCTGGCAGACTGGTTACCGTGTACTACGGATTATTGTGTCCAATGCAGTCTCTTCAAAGTCATTGCTGTTCTAACCCAATGACTTTGCTGACTAGGTTCAACTGAAAGGTTGCAGATCTGGTCTATTAAGTTCTTAGTATCACTGTCGCCAGTTAAACAGTATTACTTCAAAATATAAACATTTTAATTTAAAGTAAGAAGAAAAACAGAAAGAGTTCACTTTCAGTCAAACATTTCAACGTTTGCTTCTGTAAATTCATGCTTTAAACTTCTGGGAGTGGGCAGGTTTATATTCCAGTTAAATCAGTAGGCATGAACAGAGAATTCACTCAAGTCACCTTACTTCACTGGCACTGGACTTCTGTTCTTGTCAATAGGGTGCTCTTAAACACCTTCTAGCAAGGCCTCATGCACACTTTGTATTCTTTAAACAGCATGATCAAATACTGAAAAAATACAGTCATATGTCACACTTCAGCCTGGTGGGCAGTATCTGATGTGATTGCTTATTTTCATGCACTGACCAGTATATGATCCACACGGTCTCGTTTCTTCCGCCCAAATTTCATCATCTTCTGCCAGTCTGTTTTGTGATTAGGCTCCTTCCTCAGGCTGAACAACTTCAGTACTTCAGCTGCAATGAAGCTCTACAGAACAGTAAAGTTCACGCAATTATCACATTTGAGCTAAGAAATTAAATGTATGCACAAAGTACCTACCCTAAAAACTCACATTATAGAATGCATAACAGCTTTCTGTTTAGCCAAGAGACATATGGTATATGCAAGAAAGTTACAGCGAAAATCTCTGAGGCAACATAACACAGGCAGAACAATTATTAAATCCAAAAGTGGGGGAAAAAAAAAAAATTTACACTCACTGCCATAGCAATCTTGAGAACAGAAACTTCCAGTTAGACAATACAGCAAACAGGAGATTATGACAATTCATTTTATGGGAGAATATTAAAGAAAAGAAGGGTGGGAGTTTGGTGTCCTTGTCCTGTGCCCTCGCTCTCCCCTGCTACACGTTTTTGAAAGTCTTCTCAACTAACAGAGTGATCTAGATACTATTTCTGTCTTTTCTAGACAGTTAACATTCTGTATCTTCAGCAGGTTAATCAAAATACAGTCAACCCCCTGCTAATTTCAGAAGAAACAGTACAGGTGGAAGTCGTCATTTGTGTCCTGATGAGCTGTATGGAAGGTTCTTTGCTGAGCACTTTCAGGGAGACTTTTTTTCCACCCAAATGTCCAGCCCGGCAAGTTTAACCTAGATCCAAGTCAGGCTCTAACTTTTTGAGGTCTTGTCCTTTCTTGAGCTCTACTACCAGTATGAAGAGACCTCCTCTGGCTTGCCAAATACAACAATGCCCCCACCAGTCAAATTTTGGGTCCCTCTGGGCAACTCCCGCTGTCGTCAGTGAGGTTGGCACAGGTGTGTCTGAGTAAAAAATCCAGCTCATCCCATTTGGCCTGACCCTACTGTTGGATCCATGCCAATATGCCCATACAGAGTTCCACTGAAATGTGCTAAAGCAGCAGTCTGTCAGCATACCAATTTTATAAGACCAAGGTCATCCTGGCACTTCTGCACAGAGGATTAAGGTTTAAAAGCAACCAGTACCAGCCAAAAGGACAAGGAGGCAAACCTACTGAATAAAAAAAGGACCATTTTGACAAACTCCCTAAGGACCATTTTGACAAACTCCCTTTCAGGTTTGTAATCTCATTTCTCTTCTCGGCTCATCTCTTACCGGATACACCTATCTTTTAACACTCAGGCAAGTGCCAGTACTGTATTTTTCATCACACTTCCCCTGCATGACAAAGGTTTCTTCCTACCTTGATTTCATCCAGGTCATTTGGATCTTTTACTCGGCGAAAGTAAGCAGATGCGATCCTACATGGTTTCATCCAAATAGGCTGATTTAGGTTAGGGTCCTCGGCAAAGATTTCCCCAAAGATCTCTTTTGTTAAATCAAATACCACCTTAGCAAAGAAAGAAGTAGTAGTTAAGGCTTCTGTTGTTTGTGGTAAACATTCAAAGGGCAAGAACAAAATGCCTAAAGACTGTACCTTTTTATAAACCTGCTTGTTTATCGTGTCTGTGTCCTGCTCTTTGAGGGTACTACTAAGATTTGTATGAAGGCTGAAACTTTGAAGATCGTGACCCAGCTCTTTCAGTTTCCAGAGTTCCTCAGCAGCTGCATGCACCATACCTTCCACCTCCACTGCTGTATGAGGGACCGCCAAAGGCTCCTCACATGGCTTTGTTGGCATTTTCTGCGGGTCTACCTTGGGCAGCACTGCTGGTTCCTCAGCTTGCTTTTGCTGGACCTTACGGGAGCTCAGGCCATAGTCCTCATCAAACCAGTCTTGATCATCTCCCAGCACACTCAGGAACTCCTGATTGAGCTCCAGTTCTGCCAGTCTCTTGGCAAGCTCTTCCTGACCACTGGCACCAAATACTGGACTCTCCTGTGAATTAAGAGCCACAGAGTAAATATAAAAGCAGTGCCACACTGTTGTCTAACTCAACTTACATTTTTAAATGCTCTACTGATGTAACTGCCAATATATGCACAAATACTCAGAAAAATAATAAATAGCCCACAGTAAAATCAGAAATGTTTTGATTCAAATACCTGGAGTTTCTACCACTCCTGATGAATGATTTCAGAGGGTTCCTACAGAGCTTAAAACACTGTGCATCCTGTCCGCTGTCTGTCCTAATGTTTAACTGTTTATGAAAGGCAACGTGGTTAAAAAACTGGTAACGTGACATACAAGTTTTCACTTCACTTACCAGCAGTCTCAGATCTAAATTAACAGCCTAAAAGCTTTTAGCAGGTGATGGCTGTTTTACTGACTGCGCGGTGCTCACACTGATGAAATGGGCTGAAGCTTTCTGTGGTGAAATTATATTGCCATCAATGGCAAAGCAGACAGGTTTACTGGGATCTTCAGCAGAAACACCAAGTCCTGTACCTCTATCATTAACGGTTGTTCTGAGGAAACTTGAACTTCCACTACTCACAATATATTAGTTCAGTGGATAGAGCAATCTGACACCTTAATGACGTCCACAGCAACTAATTATGTTTGAGGATTATTTCATATCAAGAATAGACAGGCATAAGTTTACAGTCTATTTTGTTTTGTCTTTTTTTAGAATAAAAACTGAGGGTAAGGGTTAAATACAAATGGAACACATAAGCAGAATGCAACCTAAATGAAGTACTTTTCAGTTTCATGTGTCTTTTAGCCTGTAGTGCTACCAAAATGAGCCATGAACTGGGATACACAAGAACACACATGTAAGACATATGTACACAGGCAATCTCCACATCACCAAATAGACTACTTGGGAGAAAAAACTGGTGCCACACAGCATTCCTCAGATTCAATCATCATCAGTCAAAGGAACAATCAACTCTTAAAAATTAATGCAAGATGTCTGTTACTCACTGGTCTGGGACACATGTCTGGAGAGGAAAGTTCTTCTCTTTCATCTTCCAAATCAGAACTTAGAAAAAAATTATTCAGTCCATCGGGAATCTGCTGGGATGGGGTACCAGATTCCTCCTTCACATCACAGAGCTCCTGGTTGCTGAGCTGGATTTTCTCATTCCTGACTTTCCTTATTTGCTGTAACTGATTGACTGTGTCTTTCACAAAATCTCTAAGGAGACTGTCTGTCAGCAAACTGACCTGTTCCAGCTGGTCTTTTGACTTTCCTTCCTCTTTAAGTGGTAGTCTAAGCTGGGCTTCTAACTGGTTCTTTTCTTTTGTCAGCAAATCCAAAAGTGGAGTTGCAGGCTTCTCCACAACTCCGGGAGAGAGATCATCTAACTTTTCAGCACATTCTTCCCCCAGTGTCTTCTGCCTCTCCAGTTTTTCAGAAAGAAAATCCGAGATGTCATCCAACTGAACAGTGGAAATCTCATCCACAACACCAGAACTGAGAGGAGCAAGGCTGGCTTCCTGTTTTACAGCATGCTTCAGATAATCCACCACTGATTGTTCTTGGGCAAGTGATTCAGTAGCTACAGAGATCTCCTTTATGCTGGTTGCTTTAGAAGACAACTCCTCATCAACCCTTTCCTCTGCTGAGGCTTCTGAAACAGCTGTGTCTGCAGGAGCTTTATCCTGGGAATAGTTCTCTGTTGCATCTCTGCTCTGGCTTTCATCCTCTTTGCCAGGTTTGGAACCTCCTCTGTCTTTCTGCTCAGCTTTGTATTGCTTCTCCAGTCTATCATCGAAGAATGAGTCTTCATCCTTATTTGTGTCTAAATGGCTATCAATACTTTCTGTAATGTGAGAGATTTTTTGAGGAGGAGCAAAAATACCATGCTTTTCTTTGCAAGCAAAATATTTAATACCATCGTAAGTTCCATTATTGTTCCCTTCAGGTTTATCCAACTCCACGCCAGCCCAAAACCCTTTGGCAAACTTAGTCAGGCCTTTGAATCGCAATGTTCCAGGTTGGACTTTACTCACAAGTACTCTATCACCAATGTTGAAATCTGGCAAACTATCTGTTTCTTCTGCAACTGAAACAGAGGCCCACAGCGGTGATTCGGCAGGGGCCTGTTCTTGCTCCACATCTCTGCGTTCAGTATTTTTTATAAGTTCTGTTGGGGACTTAAGTTCTAATAACCTCTCCGAATGCATGCTGCCAGAGAGAGAGAAAGACCTATCACTGAGGTATTCACTGATTTCGCCATCACTGCCAAGGCTGGTGGATCTGCTTCTGCTGGTCTGTGTGTGCTGTGACCGCTCTGTCAGTGACTGGGCATCCCCGATAGGAGAGAGAAGAGATGCTTCAAAGTCATCTTTGTAACATTCCCCGGGAAGTGTTTCTTCAATTGATGCTTGTTTTCTGGAAGAGGATCCTTCAAAGTCTTCAAGGAACGATGGCTCCTTTTGACTAAAGAGTTGTTCTGAAAGCAAATAACCTTTTTCCTCTGCCAATTTTCTCAGTTTGCGAGAAGACTCTTCTACATTTGGGCCAGTTACAGCATCTTTATCTACCAGTTTCTGTTCTAAGATTTCTTCCGTACCATGAAGACTTTCCACAGCCAAACCAAAGAGCTTCTTCTGAGAATGTTCATTTTTGGAACAGAGGACTTTCTTTGGAAGGATGTCCAGTGAGCTCTCCTGTCCTTTACCTAATGTCAACATGACATCAGAACTCTCCAAAGGCTTAACATGAGAACCTTCAATCTCATATTCCTCAGACTTTATGTATTCCAAGTCTTCCTGTATCTCAGATTTATGACTTAAGGCAGCCTCATCATTGGATGCATTTACCACATTGTTCAATGACCCATGGGATATCCTGCTAACATCTTTCATGTTTTTGAGAAGAGATGATGAGGGTACATTATCTAAGGAATCACCAGATCCTGCTCTGGAACTCCTTGGTGACATTAAAACCGAGGAAGATGTTCCAGAAGGTTCTTCTGCATGAACATCTGTCACAGACAACTTCTTGGTGTTCACAGACACAGATCTCTCAGTTCTTGATGACACAACATCTTGAAGGAAAATAAAACGTGAATTACAGCAGATTGTAAAGCCTGAATTGTTTTACTGCAAACTGCAACCATAGGCAACAAAATTAACATCAAGGTTTCTAAGCTAAAAGAAAATACAACTGGTGCCTTGGAAACATATTTCTAGCTGCCCTATGAACATGAAGAACACTTTCAGTTCCAGGGTTCTAACATTTTCTTTCTGTTAGAAAGAAAAATCTGATAGATTCTGTTCCCTCTATCAGTATTTGATAATGCCATACAACACTAAACCCAAGGTAAGGGCTCAGTTCTTTGTTTGCAAGCTGCAAAACCAATCAAGATTAGAAAGATAGATAACAATTAGATAATGACTGACAGTAAAACATTGAAAAGTATCTCAAAAAAAACCTATTCCTAAAGTCTTCATTATTTTTGGTTTCCTTACTTTCCTGAGGTGATAAAGGGACAGGAAATAAAAGAAGGGAAAAAGATTGTCGTGTAATTATGGTTTCACAGAAACATCAGCAAGAGTAAAACTAAATAGTGAATATACAGGAAACAGGAAAAGCAGGAGCCTGCTAAATAAAAATAATAAAAAATACAGTTTGATCATAATGGTTTTATGAAGTCTACATGCTCTCTTAAAAGCTCTTCTTGAATCAAGAAGAAAAAGATTAAAGCAGCTTAAAACAGTCAGTCTTCAAGTTCTTAATGTGTAGTACCAATTCTTCCAGTCACATACCTGCATGTTCTGAAATGCATTCCAAAGATGCTCTGGATCGCTCTGATTCAGCCAGTGATTTCCAGTTTTTAGCTGTCTCAGGCCTAAAGTTGAAAAATCAAATTGCATGAATCACGGTTACACCAGAGTGTTGTTTTGTTTTTAATAGATAAAAATGGAAATACAAGCATCTATAATTATAATACCACACCAATGATAACATAAACAGTTTGGTTTGTCAACGTAGTGTGACCTTAGCAAATAGGAATGGGGACAGAAAGGAGAGTTTGGTGAATCCTGGAAAGTAATTTTCTAGAAGAGTAATCAAACTAACCTTTTTTGCAGCCAAAAAAGAGAAAAAGAAAGTAACTTTTTTTTTTTACTTGAATGCACTAAAATTGCACCATCTGCTGGAGAAAATGAAACACTTAAAATACAGTAGGATGCGTAGAAGTCAGTTGAATTCTCTACCTTTTGAAACCTAAGATCTAAATCACGTTTAAGTTGCAAAGATGAATGGTTTGCCTCACACAGTGCAGTAGGCATAATGGGTGTCCAAAATGGGAAAAAAATTTGGGTCAGTAATCCATACAACTATTTGGCAGATTCTTGCACAATTGGAATTATTGTTCAGAAAGAACTTGAAAATAGGATCTGAAAGACTGTGCAGGACAAAAGCGAGATGCGTATGATTACAGGGACAGTACATCTTAGCCAGTTTGGGTCCAATGAGACCAGCAAATAGGTCACAACAGGATACTGCCACTGTCCAGTGCTTTGAGGAAGAACAGTTACCAGCTTTCCTTGCACTCATGGTTTCTGCTAAAACAACATTCACCACAGTTTCAGAATAATCTCAGAAAGAAGAAATCCCAGTTACCTGTGGAGTGGTGGTGCCTTGATCTTAGGTTTTTCAGCAGTAGCTGAGGATGGAGTTTTAATCTGAGGTTTGGCTGTAGGTGATGCCTCCAGGTCTTGGCTCAGCTCTGCTTCTGTCTTCTTGATAAACTCATCATACGACTGCACATGGAAAACAGTTACAGCTGTTAGTCTACTAAACCGTAACTACAATTCAGCAATCAAAATCTATTAAATGAATAAAGGATACAGTCTGTTTCTCTGTAAAAGCAATCTATTCAACTTCCTAAGGCTCTACAGTTGTAAATTCTAAAAATTTTAATACTTCACTTTCACAAACAAATTACGTGCGCATCACTCTTTAATCCAAGCTAGGACGCTACTGTGTATAAACATACATAAGCCCCCTGAACACTGCTAGTAACCCATTAAAGATACACATTTTAAAAGGGAAGGACACTTTTGCCTCAAGGCTCTGGTTCATTATTGAAAACAGTTAAATAGCCAGAACAGAGTCATACTTCTATCACAATAATGTGTGTGTCTCAGCTGTTGATACAATATTCTGCCAACACCACCCATACTATAATGATTTATCCAAGGCTATCAATGTTTTACTTTGCCCTTCTTCCTACTTTTCCTAACCTCCAGTTGTTTGATCAAACTGGCTTCCTGGGCCTTCAGTCTCTCCTTTTGTCTCTTTTTCTGTTCCTTTTTCAGCTGGTAAACCACAGACTTCCTTTTCCGTAGTTCATCTTTCAGAGCCCTGATCCGTCCTTCAATGTCACTTTGATCAGATGTGGTTTCTGAAAAAGTTTAATTTTAGGCTTTGTAAGCTTGCACCTCACAAAACAGTTTTACACAAAGCAATAAACAGTCATTTAAGTAAATACAAAATACAGTCCAAGCAAAATACCAAAGAATTGAACGTCAACTTGTTAATCTTAACAAAACAGGACTCAAAGTAGGATCTCGGATTCACAACACTACTATATAACATACGGAAAAGTGTTACATCTTATTAATTTAGAAGATATAGGTGCTGATACATAGAATAACTCGTTACTAAACTTGTTCACATCAACCACACATGTTTATGCTCCTACCTCATTACCTGGTTACCATGCCAGCTGTTGCAGAAATTAATTTTTTTCTGACATATTTAAAAATACGGCAACTCAAAGATGCATATCAAAAATGTATCTGAAATATTTGTTTACAATCACAATATACAGTTTCAAGCTACAGGGTACACTTCCTGGATGAGAATTTCACTTGGAACAGTGGACTCCAAAAAAAGGTTTAGGTTTCTGCCCAGTTTAGATTTTCTGCCACCTAGACTAAATACGTCTATGAAATGGAAAGCTGACTGGTCAATAGTTGGAAGAAAAGTCAATTTGAACAATGCCTCAGGATGACAATTTATTCAGGGTGAATGGGGGTAGCGTTGAGCTTAGACATGTGGTAGACTACTCAGTAATAGCTTATACAAAGCTACTTGGCCTATCTTTGCTCCAAGTTCAATGTTACAGACCTCCTATGATGCCATTATTGACTGTAGCTATTTACCACCTGAACCATTTTTTCTTAATCATTATGCTTAGTAATTTTAGTAAGATCTCCTCCATTCCTCTCAATCCCCAGAACTCCCTGCAACCTGGTCTTCCAGTCCTTCTGATGACGTTTTACCTCTTTTCTCTTGGGACACTGTCGCCAGATACTTAGATCCATTTTCTGCATGATAACCCCATTCTACCAGTAACTCTGCTACTTTCATTATTTCTGCTGTAACCACCTCTTAGTCTCTCAGACTTTATAGCGAGACTGCCTCAGTGTCTTATTACTCACTCTTTTCTGACCACCTGATTACATCCTCTGGTTTCTTGTTTTAAATGTCCCCAGATTGGTGCTGCCACAATTAAGTATCAAAAACTCTTCAAAATATTTATCTGACATAGTCTTACTGGAGCACCTCCCTGCAGCTGACGTCCCCCTTCCTCTTCTATAGCAGAAGCCGTAGCTCCTAAGAGAAGAATCTTGGGTGGTTTGCTTTTCTAATGCTCGATATTACCTATAATGTTTTCTGGACCAAAAGGCTTGGATGCTCGTCAATGCCAATTGCTTTACTGAACATCCTAGGAAGTAAGTCACCAGTATTATTTGGTCAGCTAGCAGGAACAGCTGGACATTTTGCTAATCAATCTCATTTCTCAAGAAAACAAACCACCATAATGAAGGATTTCATCATTGACAACAGCCAGTAAATACAATCAAACTGCTGTATTCTTTTTCCATTAACAACTGTTGTTAACTATTTAGAGAATTTAAAAAAACAACAGCACAAAGAGAATGGAATCACACTTGCTAATCAGGAGTACTTTATGATGCGACTGTAATTAACAACTCCTCCCAAGTAGTAAGTGACCACTATGTAATTATAGCTTTTCTTGATCAACTCATAAGGGAAAGATCCCCACATGCTTTCATCTTTGACGATCTTGTCTATGCGTGCATCGGACTGACAGAGCAATGACTTCATTACTACTCAGCAGCTTGGAAGATTTGTCCCTTTACAATGGAATGGTGTATTGTGAAACCAGCACCATCCTGATCGACTTCCCACCTCTTATACCTTCCTTCAGCATTTGAAATCAAAGATTGCAAATAATTTATTTTAAGAAAAGCTTATGTTCGATCACTGTTGCCTGCTCTACTTTTCATAATGGCTTCCTTATCTGGTTTCTCAGTCAGAACTTGAAAATAACTTCAAGTTGCTGAATGCTTCACTGTGTTGCAAACTGCTCTCCGGACACAATCCTAATACAAATTGACCAGCGCAAATATCTAGGTGTTGGGTATTCATTTCTCTACCCAGCAGAACAGCTGCCTCAAAATGACTGTGTTCCTATTGCACTTAGATACATATTAACAAAAAAAAAAAAAAACCAAACCCCAACACAAAAGATTAGGCTTGCTACCTCGAGCACCACAAAGACTGGATATGTACACACACCAGTAAGTTACCTGTCAATCACAAGCAACAGTCAGCACATACAACAGAACCACCTAGTTCTTTTTCTACTAAAGACTTACTGATGATTTAGGAAATTAAAAAAAACAAACAACAAACCAACCAAGCATTAGCAAATGAGACAGAATTTTCCTAAGTATTTTATAATGCTGTATTCAACTGCACTGTGGAATACAAGACATTTTAGAGACTAAAAGCACAGAAAGGTTCAAAGCAGATTTCACTGCTTAACAGAACTGATGATGGTGACCCACTGAATGGTGGCTCAGGAAGTCCTGCAATCCACATGACTAACAGACTGTGAGAGCACAGCAAGGAAAGGACTGCTCTGTACCAGTTCACTTCTAATATTCTCTTCCTCAGCATTGACCCGTAGCCAACTTGGATAGTGGATTTAAGAGACTTCTAATAAAGAATCCATATAGTAAATCTCGTATTTTATAGCTCAAAACACAATCTTAGGCCCTATTTTTCTGCACACAGTTCAAACTCCCCTTCTGAAAATAAAATCCTACGTCCTGAAGCATCAGTTTGTGCTGCATATGCCAGTCCAGATCCAACGGGCTCACTCATACTGCCATGATAACAGAGCTACGCTGTTCTGGAGCCAGGTTGTGTTCTGAAGGAGGACGATCAAATTTGTATGCTGCTGAAACACG